GAAATATTTTCACAATATCGGACCTATCCAAATCCATAAATTGTTATCAGTAGTTTTTGGCAAGTGAAATATTCAAAATTTTAAAACTATAAATGGTGGTCCAAAAGGAAGTTGTATAGCGAAGCTCTGTCTCTTGCGAGATAAGCCTGGTCAAATCAAAAGGAGCATGAACCAAGACAGAAACAGCAGAAATATAAGAGCAGGAGAAACACACTCGGACACAGAAAACGATCCAGCGGTCAGATATTGAGGGAGGAAGGACTGAGCCAGAGAGCTGGCACAAATACCAGAACTTCAGCTACGAAAGTGGCACAAATACACCAGACCACAAATATAACCGGAGACTGTTGGCAGCTTCGGCTGGCTAACAGCAGGTTGAACATGGTCGAGTTTTTGTTGTTGTTGTAAAAGGACACAGACACGAACATAAGTTTAGTCAAGGACCCTCTGTATGCCAGTGGCAGATGAGGAAATAGTGCTACGCCCATATTTGCATAAACCAGTTGTCAATCAATGGGTAAGGTGGTCGTCACAATGGTGGCTTTTTTCCCCCCAAGGATACTTTCTGGTACCTAGTTTGAAAGGATCATCTATGAACAGGACACTGCAGGCTCAACTACCACATGCATAAAATAAATATAGTACAGTCCCCACAGTGTGCCTGTCAAACAGGACCACAAACACCTCAGCACATTCTGCTGACCTGCCCGCTATACCTGCAACTTCCAAAAGACACCTGGCCTCAAGAGCAAAGTGTGCAGAGCAAGCTATGGGAAACCATGCAGGAGCTGCAGCTGACATGCGAATTTATAGAGGCAACCCACCTGATGGTCTGATCTGAGCATACAAAACAGAACGCAAAGAAGAAGAAGAAAAGGGTCAAACCCAGGAGCCAAAGTCAATAGTAGATGAGCTGCTTTTGGGCTGGCAGGCTAATGTTTATGACTGCACTACTGTGGCTCCCACAATTGTAAAACCAGTTACAATACCATTTTCTTAATCAATTTCTACTGCCCAAATTTGGTAAACCGTCCAAATTCTCAAAATTAATACATCACGAGGTAAGATTTTTCAAGTTTATGAAACAATTAATTTACAGCCCACTTGTAATTTACAAAAGGATATAATTTACAAAAAAAGGTCATAAATCGACTAGACCCCCATATTTATTAAAGTAAATGAGACAAAATTTATACAGAAAATCATTTGCAAAAACACATTAGGAAACCTCACCTTGTGTCTTTTTATTAATTCACTTTTTTGATGCAAAATTACAAGACATGTTTCAGATTACACATGTTGTTGAATTTTATATACAGCTACTTTCTTGTACAATAAGACAATGCCAGGAAAACAAACAAATTGTCACCTGTGTAGAGAACACTTGACAATTGTACAACCAAAGTTTAAATTAAGGGTTGTTTACGAGTTAAACATACCAGTTTCATACGAAAATCTGAACTTCAACATAAAGAAGTAGAAACTGAAACGGTGGCAAAGAAAGTATGGATGTGCATGGGAAAGAAAAACCCATACGGATCTACTTAGCTGGCATACTGATATGCCCAGAGATCCGTTTTGGTTCTACTGTTGCACTGATCGGAAATGATCAGATCTGGGGTTCATACTTATACAAAAATTGGTGCTGATGATATTTCTGGGGCTAAAAAAAAAAAAGAGAGTCTTTCTTTAGTTTAAAAAAAAAATCTAGAGTCAGTTTGGAAAATTACCTACAGTAAAAATGTACACATAAACATTACAAACCAAACGATTTTAAGAAATGAGGTATCAAAAATATAGAGCTTATATTTAGGAGAGGTGCAGAGAGGCACACAGCATAGCAATCTCAAGCTGTTTTCTACTAGAGTTAAAAAATAATTTCTTGTCAACATAACATGTAAGTAAAGGCATATCATGCATCTGAAGGTAGTTTATTTTTAAATTTTTTATATTATTTCATGCCTGCCGCCTTTACTTCCCAGGTCATTTCCTGTTGCCCCTTTAAGGCCGGGTTGCCAGGAGGCCAAGATCAATTTTAAAGAAAAAAGGCCCCTTATTCTGTCTGATGACCTTCTTTAAAATAAGACTAAGCTAAACACATACACGCAGTAAAGTAAAGAACCCTTATCCACGTCTTCAGGCGTATTGGGCATACCATATTTGATAGGCCAGTCAGCACTCAGCGGGTGATTTGGTCAACATCAAGCCACACTCAAAATAAAAAAAGAAAAAACTATGAAAGATATATGGATGACATTATATAGCATCATAAAAGTGGGTTTTAAGTGCACTTCTGATCAGTGTAATAACCTGCTGAAATGAAAATATATAGTGTACTATGGGCATGTGGAGATGAATAAACAAAGGGGCCCGTGGGGCTATCTAGGCATCAATTTAAGCACACACAGTAAACAACATAGGTTAGTTGCGTATCCTTTACAGGACGTTGCAGAACCAACCCCAACAGCCCCTGGCTGTTGTGTTATTTTTCTAGGCAAATTTCCATCCAGTAGTTTGCCACTGCTTTCTGGACGGTTGGCTCTCTTGATACCACTGACGAAACCAACGCAAGGCGCATGGCCCGCAGCTCGGATCGAACCCGGCATCCCGGCATTACAAAGCATTCGCATCGACTTAGCCACAAACCTGACAACAATCCATTACAGGATGGAAATATCAATTATTTACTAGGTGGTATTAAACTTTTGGGAACCATTTATCTCATGGTTAGTACAACAGGACAAGCAGTAACACTGTCACTGCTTTGGTGAACATAATAATGAAACACTGACACACACAAAGACGTCATGGACATAAATAATGTCTATAAAACACAATTCTCTGGGTGATAATCTTAAAAAAAAACCCATACCAAAGAGCTTTTTACAGCTACATCCCCAAAGAAACGTGTTTATTTCAGTCAGTTTTGTCATATTCAAACAACATACCATACTGTCAAACCAAACAAATGGTATGTTGCTGCAGAAGAGAGGGGAAAGATGCAATACATTACAGCAGTTTAAACAAAAAAAAATGCCATTTAAAAACACACACAAAAAAGGTAACACAAATTGGCCCACAAATAACAACAACATCACAGTAAATATAACAATCCCCAGAAGAATGCAGTCAGGTAGGCTTTGTTGTTATATCACATCAATGCACCAGCTCCCTAGGCTATAAGTGCCTGCTAACTACCACTCCAGCTGACATACAGTTTTTTTGTTGTTGTTGTTGACCACAAACTTTTTTCAAAAAAAAAGGACCCTTTTCCAACCAGCACATTGGGCACATGGTGCTAAATCCATATTTTGGGTTGACCTATTGGCACTCAATGGGTGATGTGATCAACATCATGCAGGAAGACTAAAGTTCCAAGGATATTTCCTGGTACCAACCCTAGGCCAGGTCAACACTGGGAGCTAAGGCAAAAACACACATTTCATCAGCTGCCAATGGTTTATTCCAAGCCCAGGCCCCTATATTCAAAGGTATGAGAACCTCTGGTACAGATTTACCTAATATTTACAATACAAGATGCAGTATCACACATACATATCCCTTTTTGCGTACATAATAACCGCATCTGATGAGAAATGGAATAAGGTAAGTAAAGTTTCATTTCATGATGAGGATGACAACAATGTAATGGTGGCTGTGGATCACACAAATTCTTAGCATCAGCACAAACTCACAGCACACACACACAGTCCTCATAACTTAATTATTCTGAACACAAACTGTGTATAAATTAATCACCAACAGTACAACACAACAGTGGCGACTATGCCCATGCAAGTTGTTTTCAGAAGATAAGAAACTCAACTCAGGTGCCCGCTTCACAAATTCATTATCTGTTTCATGTTACAACAGTAATGACCTCAATACTTCTTCAATTTAAAAAGGAAAAAATAAAAGCAGAGTCAACTTCGTTGTGTTGAATGAACACACTTTCAATGCTGGGTGTCATCTAATACAGAGTTTATTATTATCTCACTTTATCTCACTGTTATCTCACTTCACTTCACTAACTCCACACACTAACTTCAATATTTTTACCTCAACACTTGTGCACATTACCTCCCTGATGAAAATGTGCAAAGTTTGCAAGATTTATACACTGTGTACATCTTCACAAACAGTGCTAATAATACCACACACAATTCATTTTCAGCAACTTATCTCACTAATATTTTAATGATACTTCATCTCTATATTTTGTGTTTGACTGAGTACAAATTAATATTAGTTTTTAATTAAGCTACTCACGTTAAGCAGCTAAAATATAAATGATGAGGCCCTACCGGTCATTCTTCGATTAGCTGGTTTAGTATTCAACACTTGTAGACTAAATAAAGAAAATTAGTAATTATATTAGAGGTGTAAGCATGTAGCTTATCTTTTTTATTGCTCATTGGTTCTGGCCTTTTTTATCACCTTCACGGAAGATGTCAAAAATACCACACATTTTGTCAGCAGTGTTGGAACACCTCTGCTAATAAATCTTTTGCGACAGGTTGCAGTATGAGATGTAGCCATTCAGCTTTCACATTATGTACACTCAAATTTAAAAAAATGTCACATTTTGCTGTTTGTTTTCCTTCTTTTTAAAAAACAAAACAAAAAAACTGCACCTAAACTGGGCAAATGGTAATATATGCCATCACTGTACCAACTCTCACACTAATGATCGTCGAACTAAAACCTTTAATGTGCTGATCAAAGTCAGTTTGTGGTAGATTCCACTGACAATACACCACAAAATATCACTGCAACCTATGTGAGACCAAAAGATGTCAAGTTGCAACAAGAACACTGAGAGGCAGTTTATGAGGACAAGCTTTGGAAACTGATTAGGATCAAACTATGATCATCGCTCACACATCTTCTCATGTAAGAGTTGAAGAGAGGCATTGTCCAGTTGGCAATGACAAAGCTGAAAGAGGCTTCGGTCCTCTGTAGCTGAGTAGACGTACCTGCTAGGAATGACCAGACAGGCTCTACATGGCCATGATGTTGATCTCCCGGACATCCGTAGGGGTGGTCGGTTGTTCCTGCTTCTGTGGGTCTTTGGTGGGTGTATGGAGATTAGGCTCAGCCAGGACAGCCACACAGTTACGAACGGTCTGTTCTACCTGCTCCATACAAGCTCTGATTAGGTCCTGGTAAGATCAAGGATCAAGTTTATTAGATGCTGTAGGAGGGACTTTTAATACAGTATGTAAGCAGAAGTGAAAGCAACAATTGGAAAAAGTAAGAGCTACAAGTAATGAGGACAGTCTGAATGAAAATATTAATAATATAACTTTATATAGCAGCCACATTGAAATAAGGACTGGCAACAATTCTACATTCTGTTCTACAAATACTTTTATATTTAAGAAATTTCGACTGACAGAAAATGACCAAAAAATTACTGTAAAATATTAATTAAAAAGTTTATAATAATAATGTAAACCCTCCAACTGTTAAAGATTAATTTAATATTTTATATAGTGTTTTTTATTTCAACATGAATGTCAACACCTATCAGCTCTATCTCTGTGTGTGTGTGAGTGTTTTTTCTTTTCTTTATTCAATTTTTGCTTAGGACATAAAAGCAGTGTGTCTGTTTACCAGAACAGTTGCGATATTTGCACATTTTGACATATACTTTCAATTTGTTAAGGCTTTAAAAAAAAAAATCAGGTTAGCCTTCCCAGGTAAATATCTATTCATGTCCTAGATAAGAGGAAACAATGCTTACCACGTCGATGCCTGTGGTCACATGCAGATTGCACATATGCTCTGTGCTTACGCCTTTCCAGTTTTTTAGGGCGGTGCCAATTGCAGAGCAGGCAATCACAGAAGGAGGAGTTTGCATAAATTTACAGTCTGCGGAAAGGATAAAAATACGAATTTTAAAAAAAATTACTCATACTGAGTGTTCTTTTTCTATCTAAAGTAATGATTGTAGCTAAGCCAGTGAACATTTTTTCCCAAGTTTTTCCCCCTGCAGCACTGCTGGCTATCTGTGGGGTTAACATTTCAAGGACAAGAATCCAACAGGTACAAGTCCACGAAACCATTTTCAACCATTCAGCAGTTTTATTGTGGTTTCCACAAAACTGTTTAAAAAGAAAACTGTTGTCCAGTGTGGGTGGGTACTGCCAGGTTTAACTGTTGCAACTGTTGTCCAGTGTGGGTGGGTACTGCCAGGTTTAACTGTTGCAACTGTTGTCCAGTGTGGGTGGGTACTGCCACGTTTAACTGTTGCAACTGTTGTCCAGTGTGGGTGGGTACTGCCAGGTTTAACTGTTGCAACTGTTGTCCAGTGTGGGTGGGTACTGCCACGTTTAACTGTTGCAACTGTTGTCCAGTGTGGGTGGGTACTGCCACGTTTAACTGTTGCAACTGTTCAATTCAATTACAGGCTAACATAAATTTCTACTCATATTACAAGTAGTTTTATTTCAGGTATTCCTCTCCATAAGTACTTCCGTCTTCACACATACCCAAAGGTACCTTATCTCTTTCTCTCTCTCTCTCTCTCTCTCTCTCTCTCTCTCTCTCTCTCTCTCTCTCTCTCTACACACACATACGAGAGTATGAAAGGGTGGGTTTTGGCTACAAAGGCGATAGATACACACACACACACACACAAAACAAAACACACACAAAACACTGGTACTGGACAAAGGAGACATTCCGAAGACCATTTATGAACCACTGCTAATGGAAGAGACGAAGTTAGACGAAATAACAAGTGTGAATGTGGAATTAGGAGTGGATACAACGACGATGGGTGTATGACAGGAAGGAAACGACAAGCGTAAAATCTGTACCACAGCAACACCTTAGGACGTATGCCGCGGGGGACGGAGCATCTATAGGTATGTCCGGTATGTTATAATGTCGATTCTGAAATCAGTTATCCACACAGATACCGAAACTGAAAGATAACCAACCCCTAGCTGATACTGTGGGAGTCAGTTAAATTTCCAATATACTCGGTCACAACAGGTCTTGGTGAGGTGACAAAGGTTCTTTCTCTTTATCTTCGTATCTTTACTCTTAAAACGGTAGTGGGCACGTTGTGTTATGGTGTACAGTTGGGTTGCAATATCGACAGATCCGATCACAGCAAACATACGCCATTCTTGTTATGGGCAGTGGTCCCACCTTTTTTCCCCAATAATGAGGCCCCGACGCAAACCCCTAGTAATGAAAATCTCACTAAGGTTATTTCTCCATCCATCAACTGCTTACCAAGAGCCGTATGGCTGATCAAGAGTTAGGGCGCCTGCGGGTTAGGGACCAACTAAAGAATGTGGGATCACAAGGCAGTCTGTGTCTGAGACTTCAAAGTCAACCTAAATACCACCACAGGTCCATTTTTATTCTATTCATTCTTCCTGGTTGGTAGATGGCTAGGTTAGATGATGGCTAGAGTGGGGAAAACCCATACATACAACAAGAAGAAGAAGGAAGCTCAGAGAAAGAAACAAGATGTGAAGCGAACGTATCGACAAAATCTTTATCAATGGACAACATAGTGGTAATACTTTAAATTGTTAAAGGGCAATGGGGATTAACTTATCGCATTGGGTTTAATCGCATCTTGACCGGGGTCGTTCCTGCTGAAATGCTGTTCGTCTGCCGAAGGCGTCGAACAAAGTACGAAACAAACTCAAGGGACGACAACTGGTGTGGGAGGCGGTGTTGACGGTATTTGATCTAACCTCATATCTTCTATTAGCATTCGTTCATAAACGATCACATGAACATCTCTACTAGCAAACTCGCCTGAATCAGCAAACCCTTATAAGGGTCCGAAGAGTCATTAAGCTGTGACCATCAACACTGGACGGAAGGTGGCTTTATAACCGTAGAATGTCCGAATTTAACATTTTAGTCGGTTGGACAGGATTAGGCTCAACAGAAGTAAAGGGAACTTAGATATGGTTGTTATCAGGTTGCGTTAACGTTAGTCGCATGCCCTTCTCAAGCCGGCATTTCCCACTGAGTGGCCATATGGGTCACATTTGTGTTGTCTTAAGGGCCACACAGGACAACTAATTGAAGTCAATAAAAAAATTTGCTGGCGACGGGCCGAATCTCTAACATGCTTACCTTGCAGGATATTGCAGAAGCAGCCCAAACAGTTGTTCTTTGGGTGGGGGAGGTGGGGACTGTTTCTGATTTCACTAGAGTTAATGTACAGTATCTGCCACTGACCTCTGGGTGGTCGGTTCTAAAAAACTGACAAAATGAATGCAAAGCGGCCTGCTGCTAAATCACCTGCAGCTGGATCGAAGGGGTATCTTGAAATCATGAAGCGTGTTCTCAACGTCTAAGCCACAGATATGAAACTTAGTAGGAGAGCGGGTAAAAAAGGAGGTGGGGTAACTAGACTCGTATAACAAGTCCAGGGTCGGCCCTAGCGGCTTGTCAGTAGTAAGCAGAGCTAGTCAGGGCCAGAATGTTGAAAAAAAAAGGGTTCGTTAGGGGCTAGAGACTCCAGAGTAGAAGGACTATTAATACAATACAACTGGTAATGATTTGCGGACCACTTGCTAGGCTTCTGCGGGCAAGATTCAAACAGTGGGACGGATTCAGCCCGTGGGACGGATTCAGCCAGTGGGACGCATTCAGGCCGTGGAACGGATTCAGGCCGTGGAACGGATTCAGCCAGTGGGACGCATTCAGGCCGTGGAACGGATTCAGGCCGTGGAACGGATTCAGCCCGTGGGACGGATTCAGCCCGTGGGACGGATTCAGCCAGTGGGACGGATTCAGCCAATGGGACGGATTCAGCCCGTGGGGTGAATTCAGCCAGTGGGACGGATTAAGCCCGTGGGACGGATGAAGCCGGTGGGACGGATTCAGCCCTTCTTTGGACGGATTCCGCCCTTCTTGGGACGGATTCAGTCCTTCTTTGGACGGATTCAGCACTTGGGCCGCCATTTGATTAACCCTGATATATGTGGATGTGAAGAAGGGTTGGGTGTGATTCGCCGAAAGAAACGATATAGCTGGATGTGATAAAAGTGTAGGATCGATCCTCGATAGAAAGAAACTATATTACTTGGATATAACGAAAGAGGGTGGCTCGTCGACAGAAAGAAACTATATACTTTGTTGATAAGTTGGGATAGGTTTTCAGCATAAAGAAACTACCTATATATTTGGATATGTGTTAATAGATTGTGGTAGCTCTCAGTAAAAATAAGGAGTTACCAGGGGATCTGGCCGACGCTCAACATTCGGGGGAAGGGTGAGACGGATTTTCAGTCAGATGGTTACTGGTACCAACGGAATAGAAACTTTTCGCTTGCTGCTAAAGATGGGTACTCGGCACTTATGGGAGTGTCACGAGTGCTGTAACGTTGATTCTTAATTCAACATTCAGTAAAAATACAAGAAAATATGTACTTGGATAGGTTAGGGTGGTTTGTCGGTAAAAATAAACTATATACTTGGATATGTCGATAGGTGGGGTGGGTTGCCATAATAAATAAACATTATTGATATGCTTAAACGTGGTAATAGGTTTCGATGTGTCGTCAACACAAAGAAAATGTATATTCGGTTTTGAAAAAACAATTACTCGGAAAATGATATTAAAATGGATTCCACATAGAAAGCAACAGTAACTGTGTACCTGGATTTGACCCGACTTAGGAGAGTGGAGCCACAGGCAGAGAGAGTAGCTGTGACTAGCTCAACTATGCAATCGGGTGTTTTAAGTAAAGACGGAGAAAGAGAGGGATGTTAGTGGCGTTAATTATTTTAGCCGTAGGGGGGAGAGGAGAGCCGGAACCAATGTAGCAAGAAGGTATGCCAAGAATGCTGGGAGCTCTCCTTCGTAGGTCCCCCAAAGGTTATGGGAATAGAACAATCTACACACAAACTTCGCACGTCGGCAAGCGCTGTGCTGCTCGTCACTGGAGGCCAGATAACAAGAAGAAATGGTGTCAAATATATTCACCTTTGGTTTCAACAACTAAGATAACTTATGACTATACGACCCTGATGCTCCCGCCCTACGGTGAATAATTATCAGATGTCTATCTCCAAGCTGATGCCTGACCCCATATAAGGACAGCAAAAATCATCGTCATCATCTTCTAATTTTTCTTCTTCTGCTACTTCTTCTTTTTATCCTTCTCCTTCTCTTCGTTCGCTGATTTATCTTTAGTTGTTCCAGACATTGATGTGTATGTACGTTACAGTATAACTGAGTTATCTGTTTTCCCAGCTAACAAAACAAAACTGAAACAACTGTGGGTGCCTCAAGTAACTCAAGTTACAGCACAATTACTATGACAATAACGGTTCTGAAATCCCATGCTCTCATTGTGGAAGGCTTCTTATCGTTTGCAGGTCTTGCTAGTCGCCCTCGCCATTACCTCGGGCTGCGATTCCCATGCCTACCCATAGCATAAATTAACACTTTTGTCCGGAAAAGCGGAAAGGTGCCAACAATCAAATTATAACAGAGAATAACGACGAAAAGAATATGAGAATGAGAAAGATCGGCGAGACGGAGGAGCGAGAGAAGAAGAAGAAGAAAAAGAGGAAGAAGAAGAAGATGATAAAGAAGAAGAAGAAGATGAAGAAGAAGAAGAAGAAGAAGAAGAGGAACCAGAAGAAGAAGACGACGAACAACAACAACAACAGAACAAGAAGAAGAAGAACAAGGAGACGAAGAAGAACAAGAAGAAGAAGAAGAAAGAAGAAGAGAAGAAAAAAGAACAAAGAAGAAGAACAACAGAAAGAAGAAGAAGAAGAAGAAGAACAAGAAGAGAAGAAGAATAAGAAGAAGAAGAAGAAGAAGAAGAAGAAGAAGAAGATCAAGAAGAAGAAGAAGAAGAAGAAGAAGAAGAAGAAGAAGAAGAGAAGAAGAAGAAGAAAGAAGAAGAGAAGAAGAAGAAAACAAGAAGGACCAGAAGAAGAAGAATGTCTCACTTCCGTGTAAACGTCCCTAATTTAACCATGACATCGCCGTCTTCACTAAAATTCACACTGCTGTAACAACCTTTGACCCGCTATGTAAAACCTAAATTCCTGGAGCCGAGCATGACGTCAGAACACTTTCTGAGCAGGCTCCATAAATAACACGTCATGATATGTGTTATCTTGTCCCATCTGAACTCAACAGCCTAAAAAAAACGGTGTCGTCTCCACATTAAAGGTTGGCTACGTTGACTGTTGACTGTGAACATTACGTCGTGGGCTTACATCTCTTCCACGGTGCAACTCTCTTACCGTCGTCCAAAAACCAGTATAATGTTCGTATTTTTTTTTAACCGTCCGCTGCGGTAATCAAACTCTGGTACTTGATAAAATGGAAGTCATCCACTAGCCTCGAAGCCATACAGCGCCAACAAATACAGTGTAATTACGACCATCCCCATTTTCGTCTCAACCACCCTCTGGTTCTCTCCTCTGTGTGTCTGGGGCGGACGTGCATACTGTGCATTATGGTTGTGCCGTCGCTTAAAATAAAGACATAGGCTGCTGTCAAAACTATACATGACGGTACTTCTCCTCCTCCTCCTTTTTTCTTCTTTTCCCTCTTCTTCTTCGTTCGCCTTTAAAAGTGCGAGGATTACATCCTTTCCGCCCAGCACATCTAACGCCAACGAATCCTTAATGAATCGTTTTTTACGATATATTGTTTAAAGAGGCATTTGATCTATTCCCCCTAACCTGACTGAGTGGGGCGCTGTAACTCACAGAAATAAACAGTTTGTTTATTATATATATATATATATATATATATATATATATATATATATATATATATATATAATGGAGCTTTTGAATTGAAATGTTATAGAAAAATTCTTAGAATACCACTGATCAGAAAGAGGAAAAACAATCGACATTCTGAACGAGTTTAACATCAAGGAGAACTGACTCATAAACAGCATCCTGTCCCGAAAGTTGAAGTATTTTGGGCACATCAAGCGTCATGGTGGCTTGGAAAAGACGGTGATGGAAGATGCAGTTTGTGGAAGGCGAGGCAGGGGTAGACCACCGCGAAGATGGATACAAGACATTGAAGATACATTGGCACTGAATGCACATGGGGCCGGAGAGCTGGCTAGAGAAAGGGATACTTTCAGGCGTGCCGTGAAGAGAGCAACGTTCTGTAAAGGACTTGCTAATTGATGATATATAGTGGAACTCACACAGGGTTATGGCTCTTAAATAATTATGATTATTATAAATAAATGGCCAACACGCACGCACAAACAATGTACTAGCATCTGGATAACAAGTCGGCCAGGTCACACTAATCTAATGGCGGCCTTTGAAGCAGACGTTAAACACGAATAAAGAATGTGGGTGTCTGCACACGAGAAAGGTTCTGTAATCCACGCAATTTGTCACCGGGCTATCTCTTCTCTGCATGCTGTCCAGAGGTTTTATTTTCAACCGCTGTACATACATTTAGTAATCGGCTGTTTAATATTGATATTTTCATACATGATTATGTCTTTTTAGGTGGGAGCCAAATGAATCACTTGTAACCATAAATACGCACGCACACACAGTCGGATTTTTTTATCTCGAAAAATGGCCTTGTCTCCCAGGTCGACCCAGACTTGAGTGGGTACTAGGTACAGTCGTGTGAAGTAAAGGCGGCTGGCGTGATACTGACCACATTACTTATCTTGTGCCGTTGGTCTATAAAAAACAGGTCTAGCCCAATATACCCAATACGCCTGAAAGGCGTGGAAAATGGTCCTTTACTTTTAATTTACACACACACGCGCGCGCGACAGTATAAAAGTGTATTGTTTCTACAAGAACTATTTTTAAAAAATTAACCAAGTATTATTTTCTAGCAATCTTAAAATGTAGTATTTCTTTTTCTCCTATTTCTTTTCCTTCTTCTTCTCCCATTTCTTCTTCTTCTCCTCCTCTTTCTCTTCCTACTTGCTCTTCCTTTCTTTCAATTGCCTCAGCAAAGAGACACAGTAAGAACTAATATCCCAGAAATCTGGTCCCATATTGTCCTTTCCGTTTGTCTGCGTACACCCCCCGGTATTTTACACAACATACAATACAGACACACAGCTGACAGTGGCATCTGAAAATGTTGACAGCAATTCAAACTCGCTGCTATTCAACATTCACACAACAGATGCAGCGACAGATAAAAAAATCTAGTTATTAAAGTATTCTGTACGTATATAAATCTACAACCTAAGCAATATCTTTGCTTGAAAGGGGTGCGGGGGGGGGGGGGGAAGGGAGAAGAGGGGAGATGGGGAACACAAAGAAAACAATACCAGGACACAGTTCAGTCAGTGCATCTGGTTTTTCCACGGTTACAGTCGAGATGGTGGGGCAGGGGGATGTTTATTTTTTGGCCAGCATCTAACCGCGGTCAGTTTCGGGCATACTAGAGTGGAGGTGGTGTCAAACTAGTCTGAATGTAGTAGTGTAGTTCAAATGTGACCTTCTAGGAAGTTTGAAAACAAAAACGGTGACTGGTCCAGCAAACAGAAGATTACTTAAGTGCTCGTAGAAAATTAGATCTCACGAACCGATTAAAATTAAAGGGACCACAGACAGCAGTGTTATACAAATGCAGCGGCGACAGACCCAGAAGAAGATAAACTGCAGAAATATCAGAGACAATAAAAAGTACTTTATACGAAACGAACAGAAGGGCCCGTTCCAGTGATCTCTTCCTGACTTGACGCCGCGAGGCATTCCAGAAGTTAGGGTTAGTTGCGTATCCTTTACATGACGTTGCAGGATCAACCCCAACAGCCAGGGGGCTGTTGTATGGTTTTTCTAGGCAAATTTACGTCCAGTAGTTTGCCACTGCTTTCTGGACAGTCGGCTTTCTTAATACCATTGTCGAAACCAACGCAAGGCGCATGGCCCGCAGCTGGGATCGAAACCGGCATCCCGGCATTACGAAGCGTTCGCATCGACTTAGCAACAGAGCCGACATTCCAGGAGTAGAAATTTAAAAAAAAAAAAGAAGAAGAAGAAAAGTCGGAAGAATCGACATCACTGTACTGGGTGGTATCCCACATAGCGCTGTCTTTCTCAGAACACTGAGCTAGCCGATTATCGACGGCATCGTACACAGCAGGAACCCACAGCAATCTCCGTAAATATAACAATCATGAATCAAATGACAACGTCCGTGAAACGAACCTATGACTTTTACAACGTGAGACAAACAGCTAAAACACTTCGCCACGGATGTTAAATATTTTAGGAATTAAGACAGACAGCTACTGGTGAAGTTAACAGATTCTGACAATTCAGACAACCAGCTTTTTTTGTGTGAGCCAAACTAGGCGATAGTTAGCTTATACGTATCTTGGTCTATCCATAGATGACTTTTTTCTTCTCTTATATAATATAATAATAAAACTCCACAGGGGAGCATACACAACAGGAGTCTACCAGTCATCAGTAGAAGATCCTCCGTCTTCGACAAATGTTTAGGCCCATTACCTTCCTAAACAGTCTCCGAACGTGGGCCACCCTGTGCCACGGCGCCAGACCCCAGTATCTCCTGCTTATTACATATAGATGTCATATTAACCCACTGTATGCGAATTATTAATTTAATCACTTCTGTCTCGTAGATGGGGTTAAAGTAAACAACCATTGGCGACTGAAAGAGTTAAACTCACATCTATGACACATGTGAGAAAAGTAATTGTATGCAACTGAAGAGTTTCTTCTGTTTTTTTCTTCTTCTTTGTTTACCCGCTGTACTCTCCGGCGAAAAAGCCCCGGTTTGGCCTTTGACTTTGCGCCAGATTCTGACTTTTGCGTGTGCATCCGTTTTACTGGCTTATATGTGTGTAGCTGGTTGTTCTCTTCGATGGAAGCTCCTACTTAGTCGACTCTTACGACATGCTTTTTAAAGAAAAAATAGATAGCGAGTCTATTCTTGTTTTCCTAAAAATGGGGCTCCGGAACCCACACGGGAGAAATAAGGAGTTTAAAAATAATAACTAGCACACAAACAAAGTAACATCTAGGACAAGAGAAGATTAACAAAGTGCGACAAAAAAGTTAACAACATACAGTATTTAATATTTACCTGTAGCACATAGTGCAGCTATCGTCTGAGCGTGCCGTTTAATAATGGGCCGCTCGTAAGTGTTGAAAGGCATCCGATGTAAAATATGGTCCAAAAAGTCGTTGGGTACAATTGCAGAGAGGTCCCACTTTAACAGATGCAGTATCAGCGACTCCATTTCCTGCGAACAAGACCGGAAGGGTGAAAAAGGATTCCCATGAACTGTGCGTTAATTAAAACAATTAATAAACAGGATAAAAGACTCCTTGACTATAGTCGGAGTCATGGGAAATATGCCCAAGCTGTCTTGTCTTATCCGCAGCGTTAACATTTGGACCGTTTTTGGTTACAGAGAATTGTTGCTTCAACCTCAAAATGTCACCGTTATCTGGCAAATATGGATGATAAAGGAAGTTAAGAAATGGTGATATGCTAAATATAACAGACCTTGGTGGCTTATCACCGTGGGACTTCACGTCATTTAGTGGTTCCCGTCTTAGGCAATAAAATAAGTAACCATCTGCTTCTTCTTTATCTTCCTCCTCTTCGTCGTCGTAAATTTTTCAAAGAAATTTTTAAATCCTGAAGTGTTATTTCATTCTAAGCCTACCTATGCTAAGATCACATATTTTTCACATTACGCTATGCCTTTAAAAAAAATGATCTGTCTCTTCCTCCACCTCTCTTCCGTCATCAAGGTTTTTCTATTTCTCTACTAAAATATGAATTTTAAAGGAATAGTGCTACGGTTTTACTAACTTTCTCAACTTATGCCCTTTTCGTTACTAAAACGTGTCTACGAAGACAATTATTTATTTATGACACATATATATCACACCTCGCCTTATTCTATTTGTATTCATCCCTAATAAAGTAAACATTAGGACAATCTATTATTACTTAACGAAACGCAAGATAGCTTTACAAATTAAAAATCTACAGCTAAAAACAATTTAAGCTGCGATACAGATGGCTGTTTGGCAAAGATACAGTAAGAAGGTTCCTTACAGTGACGTCAGAATTTTAGACCCAAACAGTTTTCTCGTTCCCATAGTCGGCGCTTTACCCCGTGTGCACTGGCTCCAACTTTCCCGCAAAGGATGTTCCGCCTACACGGCTCATCCACACGGTTCTCACATCGCACTCTTGGTTAAAGGTACAACTTCATATATGAGGAAGTGTATATTTCTCTCCTGGAGTCATTATCTTTCTCCAACCTCCCCCCCCCCCCTCCCCACCCCTCGCTATAAATACACCATGGAACCTTCACTTCCTTGCATTCAGCAGAATCATGGAAACAAAAATCTCACGCCTCACCCTTACATGTCGGTCAGGATGCCAAGGCTGTAATGAATGAATTGCGAAATCACGTGAATGTGAGCAGACTTGAAGTCTATGGCGCGTTATCGTGCCAACGTTAACTGTGAATGAACTGTTGCTGTGCTGCCGGCTTTCCCTCTTCAACTCCAACCTTTATCCTTCCGGCCGTTTCTTACACGATCGTGCTTTTTGTCTGCGCGTTTGTGTACGTTCACCGGCTGTAAACCCCAACAGTAAATCCTGGTTGTGTGTCCGTTTCCAGATTTTTGGCTTTGATCAAGAAACTAAAGTTTTGCGTATGCACCCGGTTTACAGATCTGATCTGTGTGCAGATTGTCGGTTCCATGCCTCTCAGGCAGATATAATTCGACTGCGAAGGAATAACAAAATCAGTCGACTCTTACGATATGCTTGTTCTTAGGGAAGCAGTGGGTATGTTCTATTTTTTTCCTCAAAGCGGCCCTGGAACCCATATGGAGAGGGGGAAAGGGGGAGGGAGTGTATTGTTATTTTTTTGTATGTCAAAAGAATTCTTCAACCAACCCCCACGCAACGCCGGCTGGAAATTCTCGGCATAAAGATACTGCTAAATATATGACCCCACAGACAGCCTGACACAATGACACAGACGTTTTCATGTTTATTTATATCCTGTTCTTATTCAATCCGATTACGTGGTGTCTGATTCCACAGTTACGCAACCCGGAGACCAGTTTGACACACACTGTACTGAAGTCGGTTAACAGTTACATGCCTTCAACATGTGATGGGAAACATGACCAAACCTTGCCTAATGGCAATCACTCAGTATGTTTTTTTGTGTGTGTGCTGCATTGTGACCAGAAGTGCCGACACAAAGAAAACATTCAGATGTGGGAGTAGTTTGGGTCTCAAAAAGCCTAACCCCTCCCTCTTCCCCCCTCCCTCCCCCATTTTTTTAATCCCCAGAATTTTAGTCTGTAGATTAACATATCAAGGATGAGAATCAACCAGTTAAAATTCTGGGAAACCCCGTTCAGTCGTATAGCAGTTATACTATCTGAGTTTGGAGTGGGGAGTGAAGCCCTACGATACAGTTCTGATGATTAGGGGGGGGGGGGGGGTGGGGGTTGGGGGGCACTAAAAACGCATAAACGCCCACTCCCATCTTATACTGGACTACATATATGTTACCAAGTGACCGTTTTGTGGTGCTCCCATATAACTGTGCCATATGTCTGTATGGCTGAACGCAATTTCCGGGATTTGTTTCCGGAATTTGTTTGATTCTCACACTTGAGATGTTAATAATTGGGAGTTTCCTTCGAAGTAGGAGTGCATCTGCCTTAGAGGCAAGGACCCAGTAGTCTGCCAACAAATAAGTCAGATCTGTAAAACGGATGCACACTCCAAACTCAGGTTCTGGAACAGGACTGCAGTCCAAATGTGGCTGAACAAACAGAACTTTGAACCAGAGTTTGCAGCTGGTGAAAGCGAAGAAGAAGAACTATACAGAACGCAATCCCAAAGGAGGGAGAGGGCGCGGAGAGGGGGGGGGGGGGAAGTTGCCAACAGATGCAGGCTGTTTTCACAATCATAACGCCAATGCAGACTCGCATCCCCCTCCCCCCCCCCCCCCACCCCCCCCCCCCCCTCCCCAAATAACTCAGCACCCAGCCATCTGACAGTACCACATATAAACTATACAAAATCGGTGAACTTTTTAACGTGCGGCAATGTCACTTAGGACAGTATATGCGTTTAACGATTTCATGAACCCTGCATACTATAGAAGTCAATTTCAGCGGCAAACTGTTTGAAAGGGGAAAAAGGTGGGGCGGGGGGGGGGGGGGGGGGGAGTTTAGTGATTCCTTCCTAGTGTGGTTCGAAAGCAGCGCAGTGGAAAAGATTCAGGCCTCAATTTGTAATCTCCCGAAGATATCGGTAGTACAATGTAGCCTTCAGCGAATCTTTATTGTGGAGACGGCACATGCACATGCACACACACACACACACACACGCATAGGAAATTCAGTTCTTTTCTGTTTAGCGACCACATCACGCGGGATGCCCTAGCCCCCTATAATATGAGATGTCCCTAAGTCAAGCGTGATGTGGTCACTAAACAGAAAGGAACCGGGACATTCTTTAAGGGCGGAATTCTTTAACGGTGATTACAACCATTAAATGAACTTTCTCAGCCCCAGATCATAGCTAATGAACAAACATGCAATAATGGCAGCAACCAAACTATGGGTATACTATACCCACAGGGGCTGAATACATAACAACCCTTGTAGGGGCCTTGTGTGTGTGTTGCTGGGTTTAAAGTTTAAGGTTTAAACAACGGATCAACGTCATGATACTAGGGTAGTAACCCATAAGTGTTCTGTTCTACTTCACACTCGAGTCTGAGTCCGAAGAACTTCAGTTCAGTGCACAAACTCCGTAGTACCGGCGAGGATCCTGAAATACTTTGGGTAGATTTTTAACTCTAAATTTTGCCCAGGCAACACCGTTAGGCTTCTCTTTTCGATTTTCAACTGCTAAGGTATTTTTTAACGTGCGTAGCAATACACACGGGCGTCCGACCTCACTATCCAGAGACCAGGGAAAGTTACTAGAAGCCTATGTAAAAAAAATCCCAGCCTTCACCGGGGCCTGAACCCGGGACCTCTAGCACTCCAGGCGGACGCTATGCAGCGAGACCACACAGCCTGGATGTTTTCACTGGACTGTCTAAACAAAATACAAGCAGAATAATATTTTGACGTATGCACGTGAGTAACCACAGTCTCTGGTGTGACCGCAAACAAACACACCTTTTCCATTTGGACGCTGTTAATCAACTCTGACACACTTCAGTATCACTACACAGACTACTTGGCTGCTTCTTTTTCTCAGATCTGGTAGTTCCTAAACCTGTCACCTTGGCAAGAGGTTACGGGGGTGTTCCGCAGTGCCGTTGATAGCGCGTGTTGTATATTTCATCACGTCAGCGCTTTTAACACTCTAAAAACATGGAGAAACTGGCCTTAACACCTCTAGAGAGTGCTGCAACGTATGTCACAGGCACATTCTTTCTCGGAATTAAAACGTAACTACAAGACATCAAGAAATCAAACAACAGAGGGGGACACACCCGTAACCTTCAGGAAAGTTGACCAGTCCAACAAACTTGTAAATAAAAAGTAGGCTACTCTATTTGGGGAGATTAACCTGAACCTGACTGTACTTTCTATAGTTCTGTTTGATTACTTATAAAAACCTTTGAATATAAAAACATAAGGTTTTTTTCCAATTCAACTGAAAAAAAAATATTCAGCTTGTTGCGAATCTCTTATTTTATACAAATCAACGATAATATACCGCCGTTCTGTGGCTCAGGGTCAGTGAGTGATTGACAACCTTGACGTTCCAGAGTTCGATAATTACGGAAAGTGTTTTAGAAAAACGACCGTTCTAATTTATGGCTTTTTGGGCAGAGGTAAATGAACTGAGGAAGGAAACCGAGCACTTATCGGAATGTCCCGAATGCACGATGCCCATTAATTAATTAATTCATTCATTTAGTCAATCACATGATTTACTGTTACATTTATTCTACTACTATCTTGTACCATTATATTTATGTTCTTTTTTCTATGATCCATCACTGAATGTCTATTCTATCACTATGTTCTTTCGATGCATCTTGAACCTGTCGTGAAAAGAGTGCTGCTAATTAATTCTAACCAGTGTAAGGCTTATAAAAGAAAACTTTTTTTTTAAACTCCATTTCACTGGGATATTTCTTGTGCGGGAATTTGAGATTTGCGTGCACATACATTTCTCTCGGATAATTCTTGTTCGGGAATTTGAGATCTGCGTGCACATAAATTTCTCTTGGATATTTCTTGTTCAGGAATTTGAGATCTGCTTGCATATACATTTCTCTCGGATATTTCTTGTTCATGAATTCTTCTTTAGCACTGAGAAACGGTGCACGATTCATATTTGTTAAGTTACCATAGGGACGTGCACGATTCATATTCGTCTAGTTACCATAGGGACGTCCACGACTCATATTCGTTAAGTTACCACAGGGACGTGCACAATTCATATTCGTCAAGTTACCGTAGGGACGTGAACGATTCATGTTCGTCAAGTTACCATAGGGACGTGCACGATTCATATTCGTCAAGTTACCATAGGGACGTCCGCGACTCATATTCGTTAAGTTACCATAGGGAAAATGAAATTCTGAATGTTCATTAAATTATCAACTCTTTCAGCACAGGAAAGCCTTGCTTTAACTCACAATGCGCTAAACTATCACATGTCAGAAAACGAGTTACAGTTTATGGGACATAATGGGTAAATGTACCAGCTAGGTGAGCAACCGGAACAGAAGAAAAGTTTATCATTAAAGAGGAGAGGAACAAGAAAAGAAGAAAAGTTTATCATTAAAGAGTAGAGGAACAAGAAAAGAAGAAAAGTTTATCATTAAAGAGTAGTGGAATAAGAAAAGAAGAAAAGTTTATCATTACAGAGTATAGGAACAAGAAAAGAAAAAAAGTGCATCATTAAAGAGTAGAGGAACAAGAAAGGAAGAAAAGTTTATTATTTACCGTGTAAAGAGCAATCAGAAAACGCGTGGTGAGTTGGTAGTTAAGAAAATAGATAATACTGGGGTCTACAAACGTCTAAAAGCTACAGCGGTCTACAAACGTCTAAAAGCTGCAATATCCCCACGCTTACAATAACAGCTGTAACTGTTTGTCAAGGTATCGGCCTTGAAACAGACAAACTTGGTCAAACAACGTGTAGAACACAGAAAACAGAGACAGGAAAGGCACAGGAGGAAAAAACAACACAGTCTCGTCAACAATAATAAATGTAGGCAAGGGCTAAACGTTAATATTATTGTGCGGTTTTTTAATCTACGTTCTATCTGTATATGGGAGGCTTTAACGGACTTGATCACATATAAAACATACTATTTGTAAAAAAAAAATAAGAAAGTAAAGATAGTGAGGAAAGAAACCTCCTTATAAAAACTACACTTTGTAGCCAGTAACGACAGATTTGCAGGGTAACTGTTTATAATAGCATTAACTAATTTTCTTACGTACATTCTTTCTATACGCTGAAGGTTTAACGGACATTAGCACATTCCAAATAATATGTGTTTAAAATCATAAAGAAATATAACCAGGAAAGGACAAAATACATGTTATGCAAACTACGCTGTCTTGCCAACAACAACAACAACAACAGCAACTGCCAGTGTATAGTATTTGTTTTGTTCCCTATGTTCATTTCAATACGCGAGAGATTGAACAGACTTAAAAAGCATATACCAAACATATAACAGACTTAATAAGCATATACCAAACATATAGTGTGTGAAAACCATAAACAAACATATCGAGGAAGGAACAAAATACATGTTATGCAAACTACATTTCTTGCCAACAACGACTGCAACTGCCAGGGTATAGTGTATTTCTTTCCTTTCTTCTTTACCTACGTTCTTCCTTGACGTGGGAGGTTGAACGGACTTAAGCACATACCAAACAGCGTAGATCATCCCTACAGAGCCGCGCTACAGGTTGCCCAGCCAGCGCTGTTAATAATAAACGTCCCTGACTGCAAGTGTGGGCCAGCGACCCTGGGTTCCGACTAGACAGGAGCGCGGGCGACTTTCCCACGGTTACTGCCCTTACACTGTCTGGCCCGGCTGGAATGATCAGTGATGTTTCTGCGCCGGCGCGTCAGGCCAGGGCTAACGACTGGATAACCTTAGATATACTGGCGAATGTAATGATTCTGAAACTTGTCCTTGTGTGGCCAGGTTGCACGATGATGATATTAATTATGTTTCCATTCTGCAGAATTATTCTTTCTAGCTGGCAGATAGGAAACGCCTTGTGGTAGCAACGAGGTTTGGAGATGATGACAAATTCTGAATGAAACAAACACTCCCCCCCCCCCCCCCTCACAGCTCAAAAAAATATATCGGATCACCCGCACATATCCAAATACGGGATGAAAGCCAGGTCGGCAACAATGGACGCTGAATTAATATAAATTTGCGTATAAATTTCTGCCATGGTATTACTCTCTTTGAGAGTCTTATATGTATATTCTTTTTAAAGTTAGATATAAACTGTCATCACTTCATGCAACATCTTGGCAGGTTTCAATATTTAAAAACATTTCTTTTAGTAATTATTAGTAATTTATATATTACTTTGTGTAAGGTTATCTCTAATGTTTTCATATGACATTAACAATACACAATCAATCTGGTATATTGTTAATAAGATGAATGGTTACTGTTTGTTAATTCTATTATTTTAAATTGTGTAACATTCATTTATATCATAATATTAAACATAGAGAAACAGTACAATTATGCCAGTCAAAGGACGGCAAATTAAAAATAAAAGTAAAAACGATTAAATAAAAATAAAATGGTATGCCCTGAATGTGTAAAGCCATACCATATCAAACATACACTAACAGAGGATGGCAACGTAGAACACGAGGTACACCAAGAATAACATGGACAGATAACATCAGAGAAACTCTACAACAGCACGATGTGTCTCTTATTAAGTGGCCAGAACATCAAGGAACAGAACCGTATATTCCCCTCAACACACGAAGCTTTCCTGACACATCAAGCGGTAAAAGAGGAAGTAGTAATAGTAATAACTGTAACAAAAACAACCTCTACAACATCAGGAAAGGGTACAGTAAAGACAGTCGCAAAGTCAGCAGAGGCAACAGCAAGTACCGTAAGGTCCTCCAGCGTGATTGAACTGTCGGTATACATGACCAGCTGTTCGCCACTGACTGGTGTCGTCTCCTTCAACTTGGAGGCCAGAAACATACAGGCTGCTCCCAACAGCTGTAACCGGCTGCGCTTTATATCCTTTATACACAAGATTCTGTCTAAATAATTCACACTGAGAGGAAAAACCTCTTCCTCCATCCTTTGTTCTGAACACACCTGAAACGAGAAGGACATGTTCCCATTCATAAGGTGTAAAACAAGTTTAGAGATCATAAAATGAATGTGTTATAACGTATTTCGAAAGAAAAAAAAGTCGATCTCTATTCTTTAATCGTGTCATGAGAACGAGAAAAGTCCAGTAAATCGTGAAGGTGGGAAATGTGGAAAAGCAAATTAACACGAAATTTAGAAGAGGCAGGGGAAGACTGGCAGAGAATATGTTGGACAGTCTGACATCGAGGTATGGAAGATCGTCTGCGTCAGATCTGACTGAATGTTCACGAGACAAATACAACCGGTTGTGGATAGCTATGACTACCAACGCCACACAGCATGGACTATAAGAAGGATAAAAAAGATATGTATCTCACCTGAAAATTCTTTAAAATCAACGTTCCGAAGAGAAGGAAACATTTAAATTGAATCGGACGGGAATAAAAAGACACCAGCGGTGGATAAGTTACACACTGAGAGAAACCTTATTATTGAAATCTGCGTTCATCTCCGTGGGGGTTCCGGGGCCCTATTGTTGAGAAAACAAGAATAGACCAACTGCCTGAACCAAAACATGTCATATGAGTAGACTAATTGGGAGCTTTCTTCGATGTCGGAGTGCATCTTCCTAAGAGGCAAGGAACCAAAAGTCTGCAAGCAGGTTACTCGGACCTGTGAAACGGATGTACACGCAACACTCAGTTTCTGGAACAGGACTAGAGTCCAGAAGTAGACGAAAAACCAGAACATTTCCGCCGAAGTTTACAGCCGGCGAACGTAAAGAAGAAGAAGAAGAAATCTACTTTATCTTAGCACTGGAATCCATAGGAACAAAGACCTTTTCTTCATTCGCCCTTAAAAAAGCCTTTCGCACGCTATGTTGTGTTTTACAGCCAGGCTGCGACATCTGCACCTTTGGGCTAAACATGCGATTTCACCAACTTCCTTATTAGTCGCACCTTAGTTCTTATGGCATTTCTGTTGGGGCCCCTGGACAAAAAAAAAAAAAAAAGGGAGGACAAGTAAATAAAAAGTTGCCAAGAATTAAAAAACACACATACACACGCGGAAAATATAATTATTAAAGTCTTCAATAAACAGAAAGACAAAAGTTGAGCTATAGCATGCAACAGCAAAAGATAACTTGGGTCGAACTGGTTGACGGGGGACCTTATGCTCCATTGTGGGAGGGGGGACGGGACAAAAGGCAGACAAAAAAGAAAAGAAGATTATTACAAAATAAAGGTTTTTAGAAGTACATCGTGTATTTAATAAAAGGAATGAATTAGAAAATGCAGTAGTTAAACCTTGTTGCACTCATCTTCTGCAGAAAACAAAATAAGCAATTAATTTTTGGAAACCTTCTGTGATATATCTTTTAAAAAGTAAGATGTAATTAAAATCTATCTAGTGCAGCATGCATAAAGCGAATCTGTGCAATATTTGCAGCTTTTATTTCTGATCGTCTTGTGTGCAAAACTGTTGTGAAAATATGTGTAGTGAATCATGCAAGGCTGCGGAATTTCAAGGTCTCTAGCTCTCCCGGCCATATTGGAGACTGGTACTTACTTAAGCAAACAACTTCAGTAAAATCATCAATAATGCATTAAGGCTTTAGCCGGTCAATAAAAATCATTCCACAACTCTAACAGTGCAATTAATTTCGATAAATAAATAGTTTAGTTGGAGAAGAAATGAGAAAAGACAAATCTGCAGGAATCTGATATGAACATGTCATAAATAAAATGCCTTAGACATTGAATTTTAACAAATTTAATAATAAACACTTACCTCTGCCATCCATTCTGTAACCATTTTTCTCATATAAGGCTGAATGTCGGTTTGAACACAATTAAAATAACAAGTATGTGGCAAGTATTTATCCTCTGTTGCTAACAAATTGGCCAGTACTCTTCTATCGTTCAGTAACACTGGATCGGCTATGGCTCTCTGTGACTTCCCCCCAATGTCCGTTTCGCAGCAAAACAAGGAGAAATCCTGCTCCATGTCTCACTGGAAATGCCACAGAAACTACAGAATTGGGCAAGTCGGGTGGTTTAATCCTGTGAGAATCGTTACTCCAAACAGTTTAATACAGGTGCCTGAATAAATATGAGGTAGATATTGCGAGGACTAACGGACGAAAGTGAAGGTGTTCCTCTCTTAAAACGTGTGCCGAATGAAGCAGCGTTTTATATCACATCGTCATTCATAGGCTAAAATCAGGCAAACTGCGCATGCGCCGTGGGCTTCTGAAGGAGAAAATTGACTTAAGACCCCAAGTTTATTCAATTTTCTACTAAATTACTGCTAAATTTGCAAACTTTGATCATTAGTTGTGATTGTCTAATTGAGTTTATCATGCTGCTAACATTTATGATGGTGAATAATTCTTTTAAAACGCTGAACGCCTTTTTCTTTGCTCTGAGACGATCAAATTTAAATATTCATGAGGCAGCTAGGCTTCATCCTGGCTGGCTGTGAGCTTTGCGTGTGTGCGCGCGCCGACGTTCATGGGTGGCCGCGCTATCCAAGCAGCTGTGGAACCAAGGTCTCCGCGCAAGCCGGCAGGGCCAGATGCTTTTCTTGGGACTATTATCAATCACGTTTTACCTCATACACCGGGCGCTCACATATATTTCATACAGGCCTTTTTTTTATGTTATACAAAACAAGAACAACAACAACAAAACTACTGGTACTCATCATAAATTATCTATAAAACTGTAATTCGTGGGTTAGTTTTAAGGCGGCGCCGTTTAGTTCACGAGCGCACGTTTTAAGTAGATCCATGGGGATCTTCGCTGGAACTACGGAGTTCATGCTTTGTGCGACGTTCTCAGCAGGCAGTCAGCCGTTTTGCGGAGAGACATCGAGCCATATGGGATGTAACCCAGTGCAATGAAGTCTATTCTCTCGATTTGACTCGCAGAGATATTCCTATAGAAGTTACTTGTACCTATTACTTTAGCCCAGCTCTCTAGCGTAGTTGGCTAAACCGGATTGCGCGGTGACCGGGTGACGAACTCCTTGTGGTCTGGATTCACTCCCGGGGGAAGGCAGAAAAGCCACATTTCTCCCAGGTATTTACAATGGAATTAATTACAATGGAACAGGTTGCGATATCCATAATACCGAGCCTAAGGGTTAAAAAATCATGTCTTCTGGATACTAAAACAAACAAACAAACCTATTACTTTACTTATTAAATGAAAATCATCATCATCTAGCAGGTCCTTTGCAGAACGTCGTTTTCATCACGATCTGCCTAAAAGAAACTCAGTCTCTCGCCAGCTTTCCCGTCTCATGTACTTTCACACTCAAGGAGTCATATCCTGTGCCCTTTCGTGTCGGCCGGCCTCTGCCCCTCCTTCCTGGTACCATGCCTTCTGTTATAATTTTTTCCACTCCGTTGTGGCGCTTGATATTACCAAAATATTTCAGCTTCGGAGACAGGATGCTGTTTATTAGCCAATCTTCCTTGATGTTCAGATGAACAACAATTTGTATTATGGGGGGGGGGGGGGGGGGGGGGGGGTCTAATATTTCTAGAAATGCTTATTACTGTCGAACCAAAATTAGTAACATTATACATGCCATGTATTGATTTTTCATGCAAGACATTGTTATTACTTTAAAGAAAAATATATCATTATCATTCCCGCTTGTAAACTTCAGCTGAAATATGTTCCTGCCCTTGTATGGTTGTTTTTAATCTCAATTGTTACTGTAGTTGTTGTGGTTGTTATTGTTGTTGTTTTTGTTCTTCTTCTTCTTAAGCAGCTGCTGTTGCCAAATAAATTCATAAGGTGAATTTAAATTGAAACGTCAAACTAACATTTAAAATGAAATGTCTTTTTTAGTTAGATTCGCCCTGTATAATATAAAACATTGAGGAGCGACTGTCCAAACGGTAAAGAAGGCAGCGCTCTGGTATGGTAAAATCCTCTGTAAAGTTGTGAATTTTGTTGAAACCCCTACAATTTTGCAGTGTAAATCCTAGAAACCTGGTACAACCGTTTCATGCCCAATGGTACAATCAGGTAACCTGTAGTTCAGTGTTGGTGGCCGAGGGTTTTCTTTCTGATGGAGGCGCGCACGAGCACATACACACACAATACAACCCTAATCTGCACAGTTTGTGGCGACAACACTAGCCAAGCAGCCCTAAATCAGGAAGCTTTAAGATGCCTCTGCACAATTGGTACATACAGGCAGAAATGGTAGTTGTTGTTTGTTCTTTATTTGCATTTGTTGGGGTGGGGGTGGGGGGGGGGGGGTAGGGGGGTGTCTTGTTTTTGTTTTGTCTTTATATTTGCTGGTAAAGGCCGTTTAACGGCAACGCCAGGCATGTACTTTGCAACAATAAAATACAAGGGGTAAAAGATCCCTTTCCACGCCTTAGGCCTACTGGGCACATAGGGCTAGACCTATAATTTACAGTTCAATCGACACCTGGTGGGTGATTTGGTCAGCATCACACCGGCCGCCTTTACTTCCTAGGTATGCACCACGCACCAGCTCAACGCTGGGTCGACCTCGGTGCTAAGGTTATTATTGAATAATGCCCAGTTCCGTCGGGATCCGAACACACTGCGTTCCGATCCGCAGGCGAGAGCTTTTGCAACTGCACTGTTATAAAACCTTGATAAACAGCCTAAGAAAAAAAAAAACTTTGTCAATAGGGGCCGCACTAGCGCAGTCGATAGTAGACTTGCTTTTAAATCCAGTTGCGACTCGCTGCAGCCCACGGTCGTTGTCCGTAGCAGGACGGTTTCCGGGGATCCGCCAGCCTCTAGGTAATGGGTACCATGAAGGAACGTTGCTGTAGCTACGGAGTTTCGTGCGGACGGCGACACAAACGTAGTTTCGTTACCTTTACCATTATTCGGTTACCATGAACACAGTTTGGGCCCTAGCAGGATGTATTCTTCACAGTGCACACATCACTCACTGGTTAAAGGATGTATTCTTCACAGTGCATACATCACTCACTGGTTAAA